CAAATATAAAAATTATTATTATTCAGTATAAAAATGCTATTACATTAAGTACATTAATTATATTTTAAAAAAGAGTATAGGTTCGATGTTTATATAAAAAGATATAACACTTACGGTGTCATTATCCATTTTTTTCACACATTCTACATAATTTACAGTTTTTGGAATTATTCTTCTAGTTCGAAGAGTTGTAATTATTTCTTCTTGCTCGCTTGAACTAGAAGAAGATTCCAAAAATGTCTCCAAAATATTAAAGAGAGCCAAATCCGAATTGCTCATTATGTCGAATTTTCGTTCAAAAGAATGCCCTATTGCTTGCATGCATCCAGTGCACTGAACTGGCACCGTCAAAATATCTCGTGCCACTTATATCGTTTTTCACTGGGTAGCACTGACAATGAGTGCGCACCGAAAACTCGTTGAGTTTAGATGGCACTGTCCGAGTGCACTAAAAGTGCGAATTTCTTGCGCTTCCAGCTAAACATTCTGGTATACTCTCAGTGCAGTTCTGTGCATATTTGTCGCCCTGAATATGGAAGGATTTAACATTAATTTTAAGGTCAATAATGACCTATTGAACTTAACTCTCGATCCAAGCGAACAAGAGTTAAATTATAAGGGTTCATATATAATCATATCAAGTTATATATAATATATTTATATGTATGGAGGAAATATATTTATTATATATATATATATATATATATATATATATATATATCCCAGCAAACACCAATATATAATTGTTACATTGCTATAATAAAACGGAATATAACAGGTAATATAACGTGTACGTTACATGTAACATCCATGTTAGTTGTAATTTCTCACTCATAGATGTAACATTTTAATATAACATATTACATTGTAGTTATATTGTAATTATATGCTAAATAGCACATTGATGTATTGATAAGTCAGTGCTATCTTGGGATATAATGATAATATAACTACAATGTAATATATGTAATATTAAAAATGTTACATCTATGAGTGGGAAATTACAACTAACATATACGTTACATGTAACATGCTTAAGTATATAACATTTATATATTGTGTTTGCTGGGATATATATATATATAATATATAATAATATAATTATATATTTATTTATTTATATATTTATATATATATATATTATTATATATATATATAATATAATATAATATAATTATACGAATTATAAAAAGAATATATTATAAATGTTTTTATAATTAAATTAATAATATTCACAAATATATATTATAATTTATTAATCTTAAAATTAATATTAATTATTATATATTATTAGTAATTAATATAATATTCATATGATATAAATAATATATCATCATCTTCATCACTGCTAGATGATGATGAAGAAAGCAAATCTAACAGTTCAAACATTAATCGTGCATCCCACGCAGCCATATTGATTGCACTAAACTGGCACCGTCTCTCAGAGCTCGTGCCGAATTCTTGCACTAAAGTGCGAAAACTCGGCCTAGACTTTCCAGTGAAACAGCACGCACCGTTTTCATGCGCACCGAAATGCCCAGTGAAACACGTTGCCCATGACGAGTGCGCACTCAGTGCGCACTAGTTCTCCCAGTGAAAAACGCTATTAGTGCGCACTGAGTGCGCACTATGCGAGTGTTGTGCGTTCAAACGAACACGCAACACTAGCCAAGTGCGCATTGGCACTACCAATCGAACACGCGCCTGACATTCAGTGCAGCCAGTGCACCCCAATCGAAAACGCTATAAGAAAGATCAGACTAAAGTCATTAGCAAGAGTTCAAAAGAATGCCCTACTGCTTGCATGCATCCAGTGCACTGAACTGGCACCGTCAAAATATCTCGTGCCACTTTAGTGCGCACTGAGTGCGCACTATGCGAATGTTGTGCGTTCAAACGAACACGCAACACTAGCCAAGTGCGCATTGGCACTACCAATCGAACACGCGCCTGACATTCAGTGCAGCCAGTGCACCCCAATCGAAAACACTATAAGAAAAATCAGACTAAAGTCATTAGCAAGAGTGTGTGCTTCTTGCTTTATCCTCACAATTGAAGTTCGGTCTCTTCAGAAGAAATGTGTTCAGTAGGCAAAACACGTGATTCAAGCGTCTACATGTGCTTTTTGTAATTTGCAAAATTAAGAAAGAAAAAAACACATAAACAGTAGTTGATGCTTCTAAAAAAGGGAAGAAATTTATTAATTAATTTATACCGAATAAGGGTATTATTGTAATCATCGACTTTATTTATTTTTTTTTGTGTATTATTTCATTCATAATGTGTAAGATTGAGCATTTATCTATAAACAACCTTTTTGACGATCACCCTTCATTGGATATTTTTAATGACATACACTCAAACAACAAATGTAAAACAACTGAAGTGCAAATTTCATTTGAAGAGCGCGTAGTAAAAGAAATTTTTGCAAGGTAAATATTTATTATATTACACGTGCATAGAAAGTCGCCCATTACGCGCGTATCTTCTGTGCGAGAAATAACTAATTCCACACACGAGAAATTTTCCACTCAAAACAGTGCAGTTAATATCTCATTCCTGCACAGTTTCATTCATTCCCACACAGCTCATTTCCGACACTCTTCTTATTCTCCAATTATATCACCCCGCAAGTCTTTCTTTAAGCGAGGAGCACACACTTTTGCATAAGCGCATAAGCGTAAGCATAAGAATCTTGATTGGTCTATAAACGTATGCACAAGAAATTCAATCAATCGAATTTCTTATGCATATGCTTATGCGCTTATGCAAGAGTGTGTGCTCCCCGCTTTAAATTTTAGACGCACCACTTGTAATATAATAGTATATTAGCTAACAAGTGCGGGGAATCGTAAATCGGCCGATTTGCGACCCGCATATGATGGTCACGATATTTTGTGTGACCGGTGCGTGGAAAGAGAACTCTTTCTAAAATCTCATCATGTGCGGAAAGGGCGACTTTCCGCGCACCTGTTGCACAAATAACTAATTGTAATGCCTATCGCGAAAGTTCGATTTGAGATGTTTTTACTCATGTACTTATCTCTTGATGTTTTCGGTAATAAAGTCTTCGTGGCAGATTCAGCTGCTTCTATATAAGTTCTAACAGCATGGACGATCTTGAACACTTGTTTCTTTTATCCATGTGATCCTTTCTTGAATAATGAAGGTTATAACAAATTGACGTTTTGTCTCGTGTGAATTTTGTTACGTTCAAGTTTGTCCTGTCAATCAAGAATAAAGAAGATTTTTTTCCACTAGTGCGGTAAAGTGTAACCATGGTAACACATTACCGCACTAGTGCAGTAAAGTAAATAATAAAGATGCTTTTCTCGCATTAGTGGTAAAGTAAGGCATACATTGAATTGTTGATAAAATAAGCGCATTTTCCGCATGCTAAACAGTAATCGAAAATCAAACTTTCGCAACAGGCATTGCAAAAATTTTTTTTTTCCCTTAATTTATCACGTCTACTAAAAATACAATGTATCATTTCTGCAAAAAATATATTTATAAGAATAAAAATATAAATAGAAAATGTTAAAAGTATAATTCTTATAAGCGCATGATATTATTTAATATTCTAGGCGTATTCTTAGAATATTAAATATTCTAAAAATACGTCTAGAATATTGCTTAAATATTAAATAATATCATGCGCTTATAGGGATGTAACACAAGCAGATAAAAATAGTATAAAATTAATGTAAAAACGAATAGAAAAATACAAATATGATACGCAGAAAAGATATAATATGTGCAAACAGTGAAATCTTATCAAAATTTCCTTCAATTGTTCAATTTAAAATTTACTTTAATTAATGCAATTGAATTTAGTTAAATTTATTTTCCTTACTTATTAAATTTGTAAAAATAACTGCTCAGATCTTCTTTTTTACACTTTGAGTTTCATTAGTCAATTAATCAATTTTTCTTATATTTATTTTCAAAATATGTTGTTTATAATGTTTCTATATATGTATATTAAAAATCATTAAACAATTTAAAAAGGACGGTTTTTGCATATTATTTTTTATTTATTTTTTTTAATATAAATAATTCTATGATAATTTGATTGGTTGTTTTTCTTCTCTCTTTTAGTTTGGGAAAAGAGCAAAAAAAATATTTTTTAAAAAATATAAAAATAATTAATAAAAACAATATATGGAAGAGAAAAATTTGTAATGCTTTATTTTGAATTCTCGATATATATATATATAAATTTTTTTTATTAATATATTCACTTACAGTTTTATTTTTTATAATTAATTTATTAATTCATAAACATACTATAATAAAGATATAACGTAAATACAGTATATTGTTCATTGTATTTACTATTGTATATTCTTATTGTTAATGTATTCAAGATTATATATTTTTTCTGTTTTATTAAAATAAAAAAATTATATTTTGACTAATATTTTGAATTATGTATTTGATAAAATTTATTAAAAATTCATTACTTGCAACAGTACTGTTTAGTATATTTTTTTAAAACTTATTAAAAAAATGTTTTTAATCCAATTTTAGATGGCCTACTGCGAAAGAATATTATGATAAGCAATTTGAAAATAACGAGCAAACGGAAGAAAACGAACAAAAAGATAAAAAAAGCTTAAACTTTATAATAATGGGCGTAAATTGTGCTTGGAATTTGCAAGATGAATTATTAACGTACAAAGATCTTAACTCAATTATTTTTGTACATAATCATGAGTATTTCTATCGAATAATAGATAATATTATTTTGAAGGACATTGACTTTTTGAAAAACATTGATTTAAATAATAATAACCCTATTGCAATAGAATCAATATGCAGTTTATTCTACCTTGATGAGCTTCAATACTTGATTAAACAATCTTCACCGTAAGATTTTCAATATAAATTATATGTTTTATAAATAATTTTATTTAATTTTATAAACTATTAAATATACTAATATATAGATACTTATTACACAATAATTAATATGTTATTTTCAGAACTAACGATCTAAACGAAACAGGTTGCTATATTAAGATATATCGTCTTATGAAACAATATTTGGAAAAAAAGAACTCAAGAATCTATATAAAATTACTTTCTGAAAAATATCTTAATGAAATGATTGCTATGATTATAGCACAATGGATTAAACCCGAAGAGGACATCTCTTGCTCGAAAGTACAAGCGTCATTAGATAATATCGCAAAAGATGTAATGGGTTATCTAAAAAAAGAATATCCCAATCATTCCATATTCTTGACGTCTACTGAAACTTTTATCTATTGGCAAGACAACAAAATCGATGATAATTGTTGGACCGAAGCAGAAGGAATCCAAATTATGGATACACTTCAGAAATATATGCTTGACAAATTTCAACCGTGCGAATATAAAGATAGAAATTTGAAATACTTGTGTCTAGATAATGTGAGTTATTATAGATTATAATATATTATAATTGAGGCAAATGGAAAAAGGGCACATACGCCAAAATGCTACTTCGAAAATATCGACTTTAAATAAGTTTTTATTAGAGTATTATTTAATGCAAATTAAAATCAATTTCTTAAAAAAGTTTAATAACATATCCTTCAAACATTCTGAAAACAGAGATCATGATTTCAAGATGATGTTTGTTTCTTATGAGTTGTAAAAAATTGATTTGCGTTTTATTTTTATAAATAAAGTAAAATCGTAAAAAAATAGTTTGTTTTTAATTAAATTTATGAAATATAATTTTATTTAATTAAATATAATTAATTATTTAATTTACTTTTTTATATATTTTTAAATATTAAAATAATTATGTACTATTATATATTATATATTATATATTATAATAAATTACATTTAATTAATTTAATTATATTTAATACAAAAAGACACTACTTTTTATGATTTTACTCTATTTATGGAAAAAGCGATCTTTTTTATGCTGTGAGCATGCCCATATGTTTGTTATATTTTAAAAATATATCATCCCTTTAATTAATTTCTATATTTTATTTTTGACACAGGTCTTAACAGATAAATGTGGCTACCAATTAATTTTATTAATAATATGTGAGAGCGTGGCCAGAAGACTTGGCCTATATTGCGAAATAATGAAACCATCAATTTACCAGCAGGACATATGCTATATATATTGGAGGCCACAATATAAGTAAGTGTAATGATTAGATTTGAAATTATCGAAACACCTTTCGGTATTACTCTTATTATATACACACACGTACATATATATACATAATTCTTTATTGTTTACAGAGGTATAAATTTCAAAAATGTGAGACGCTTTGTAATTTCGAAGAAATTCTCATTGTCTTCCTATCTTCGAGAGATGAAGAGCGATTCGAAAGACAATTATGAAGAAATTTTTTTATTTGCTAAAAAGGTAGATTACTATAATCATATATTCTATTAATTTTAACACGAACTAATTAATATCTTTGTACAGATAAAGATAAAGACGCGAGTCACGCTTTATATATAAGCCGAAAAATTATACACTATTTTATTTTTTGTTTTGTAATTAAAGCTCTCTTCAGGTTTAATCTTTTCTGATTTTTAATTCTTTTTAGATGGGAAAATTGTTGATAAAAATATTGATAAATATATTATAATATGATATTACAATTCTTGAAATTACAAAATCTTATTCAAAGAAGAAAAAGTTAGAATATACCAACAGTACCCTCTATGAATTTGGAAACACCGTATATTTTACGGTTAAAGAATTGTATGACTGTGATCTGTTATAAATAAAAATGTCATTTAAATATTTTATGTTTATTTTATGATTTATTTGTACAAAAAATCTGCACAGATCTGTCAAAGAAGCCTCTTAATTTAAGAGAAAAATTCTCCAAAGAAATATTCTTTAATTATATATTTGTAACATGCAAGAATATAAACTTAATGAAATGTTTTTTATCAGGATATTATTTAAAATATATAAATAAAGTGATATTACATATGGCTATTAAGAGCATTAAACATTGTTACTGTTTCACATTAATATTTCATTATATAAAATTTTATACATTAAACTAACGACCATTTAACCAAACGTTTCGGTCAATTTTATGACCTTCTTCAGCGACAGCAAAATAAACTTAAATAATAAACTAAAATCTTATGTTAAATTAATAAGTATAAATTCATCGTTATGTTCACCGATAACCAACAAATATAAATTCATCGCTTAATATTTTTCGGTAAAAACAAAGAAATCTAACGTATAAATTTATAAATAATACCTATTTTTACAATAATGTCAAAAATTTTAAAAAGTTTTTTATATAAGTATAAAACAGATGATCTTTCATTATAAATACTTCTACGCAGACATTTCCTTGGTTGATAAGCCAATATTGATGACATGCACTAGTCAATTTGATCAGTCGTTGTCGATTTTTGTTATATCCACTTTGTTAAGACTAAGCACTCTCATATTGAGGTGACGGCAATCAAGACAATAAGTCAAATAGCAAAATACTTTTATACCGAAGTATAGCAAAATACTTTTGTTTTTTATTTAAAATTTTTAAGTCTCTATATATTGAATATAAATTTCAATTTAACTGATTAAAAACGTGTAAGCGAATAAATAGTGTGTCAGTTACAAGAAAAATAAATTTTTCGGTGTAACTGAATAGTTGTGCACATTAATTTTAATTGCTTAATACGATGCTAAAAATTATTTGGAATAACCTATCAATTCGAGACTTAAATATCTTTCGTGTACGACTCTTCTAACCAGTTAAAAAAACAAATTCTAATTTACATTATAATTTTAATTTGCATTTTTTATTTTAGACTCTGTGGAAATAACCAAACCAAATTGATGGAAAATAGCGATATTGGTCGCTACTTTTGTCAATTTGAGAACACGCACTACATACCGAATGAAATGCTGACAAAAATTTACCTTCAGGATGTGTGTGATTGCTGTAGCTGGGAACTAATATAAATTAATATAAAAATTATATTATGTAACTTTCTCGTGTATGTGGGTATGTATGTATTTTCGTAAGGAATGTTCTCACAAAATTGCAATGCAAAATAGATAGAATTTTTTGAAAAGTACATCTTGCAAATGTAAGTATACGACATTTTTACCGATTTTATTGTTACTTAATTAAGATTAGACATTTAATTTTAATAATTATATATATTATCGATTTTTTTTCTAAAATTTTAAATGTAATTAGTAATATAAATTGAAATTAATCAAATACATATAAATTTTTATAAAAACAGACCAGACATAAAAGCTAAAAAGCGACTAAAGAATACTCCGTTTTTTCGCAAAACATTTTTTATTTCACTCAAACGTCTTCCCTTAATTTTTTTGGATAGATATCGATTATCTCGCTTAATTTGGATAATTTAATTTAATTTTTTGAGACTTATTTATTTACCCATCCTACATAATATTTGTATATATAAACTTCAAAATGTTATTTTCTCTGTTTATTTATTAAGTATAATTTATTTTTTAAATATTTTTTACATTCTTTACATCACAAAATAATTAGATATACTATATAAAAAAATTACTATTATAATTTATAATACTTCTGAAAAATATATCGAAAGTTTAATATATAATAAGCGAATTACAATATCGCTTAGATTTTACTTTTATCTTTAATTAGGACCATGATGAGATATTCGAAGTACGATTTTAACATAGAAATCGATCATGGACTAAAGTGTGATTTATTTCTTCGCGAAACATTTTTCAGTACGCTCATACATCTTCTATAATTATTTTCAATTGATATCAATCATCTCGATTAATCTACATAATTTTATTTAGTCTTGAGTATAGAGATAGATCTTGAGTATACGATATACTTTAAAAATTGATCGACATTGATCACCTTCAAAATACAAACTTTATGTTTCTTTTTTAACGATTGAAATATATTCGGTAAAAGAGATAAATTTTATTAAGATAATTAAATTTTTGTCAAAGTTTTTCTTTCTATTAAATAAGGTTAAAAAGATTTTATTAAAAAGATTGCAAAAGTATGGTATATTTTCTTAGTTTGGTAATAGTGCTACATTAATTTGCAAATTTATTTCTATTTTCTTTCAGTGTTCATAAAGAATAATTATCTGTTTTAGATGCAAAATGTATAATAAAATGTAATTAATAGCATGAGTTATATCAGAGTATAAAGGAGTCTTTTAATAAGCAAATAATTAACGGATAAACAAATAAAATTTCTTAATATAAAAATAATTATTACAAATTATTAAAATCTACAGAATGAATATAAAGAAATATTTAAGAAAAATATATCTCAAATTTTAAAGATACAGTTTAAATTTTAAACTCCAAAAACGCATAGAATAGAGAAATGCAATCTGCATCTTTTTTTCCTACATTTTATGCAAATGCATTTTTCTATTCTATCTTCTCGGAAGAAGATGCAGAAGAACCTTAAGCATTAATCACACACCGTTTCGACCACGGTGTTTCGACCATAATTTTGGTCCTTCGCACACTTGACAGTACACTTGAGAACGACAGAAATTATATGAAACGTTGTGTGATTAATTAAATAAATATTAATGGCCTGTATCGGTCGAAAAAGATTTAATCATTAAATAATTTCTTTCAAATTTTTAATTACTAAAAACGTAACGTAAAATTAACTTTGTTTATTTATTTTAATGTGTATTCTTCAATATATTTAATTGTATTTCAAAAATAAAGATTATATTTTTGATATATATTCGTGATTAAAACAAACAGGATTGATATTTTTTATCTGTTTTTTTAATAAATAACACTGAAATTATAATAAAATCTTCATAAAAGTAAAAGCATGCCAAGTAACATTTATAAACACAGTCAACATTGTATGTAAATATGCTTTCGAAAAAATTGTTCTAAAATTAATTTTAAAAAATTCTAATATGTACACAACGCACATTAGAGTTTATTAATAGCATATAGAATACACATATAAAATTACGCAATATACATATTAAAGTCAAAATTTGAAAATATAATTTTAATATACTTTTAGGAATATGTAGTTCAAAAATAAATATTTACATAAACAATTACAAATTTAAATTGAATATTATATATTTTATTTTTCTGATTAAAGTATAAAAAGAAGTGACATATATATATTCATACTTTGAATTGTATACTTTAAAAAATTTATTAATTTGAAAAATTACTTGTGCAATCACATTGTTTACTATTATCAAAGTTTGCTGTGTGTTATCTAAATAAAATTAAATGAAAGAACTACTGGCGTCATCTTATCTGTATATAGATAATAAAAATATGTATTATCTTTATATCTGCATTTTACAAGTAGATAAGAAAAAAGTACTATCTTTACTATATTATTTATCTAGAGTAATTTTCAGATAATTTTGGTTTAAAATCATAGCACATAAAAATACTTAAAGTAGACGGTAAACCGATAAAAATTTATAAATATAAATAAATATATATTATTGTGTCCTTTTTATAATTAACATTTTTTTATAACTATGTTTTTCAGATGGCCCGATGTAAAGAGACAATATAAAATTTTTAAGGAAACAAAGGATGGAGAAAACATGAACTTTCTTGCAAGAGGCCTAACTTGTGCGACACAGGTGCAAAACTGTATTAAGTAGTTAGTATAAACTAATTAAATAAATATTAGTTGGCTTGTATCGATCGAAAAATATTTAGTCATTAAATATTTTTTTTTAGATTTAATTGTTAAAAATAAAATTTAAAAGTAACTTTGCTTATTTATTTTAATGTGTATTCTTCAATATATTTAATTGCATTTTTAAATATAAAGATTATATATATAATATGTATTTGTGATAGAAACAAACAGATTTGATATTTTTCTATCGGTTCTTTTTCATAAATAGCATTGAAATCACAATAAAATCTTTATAAAAGTAAAAACATGCCAAGTGACATATATAAGCACAGTCGACATTGTTTGTAAATATGCTTTCGAAAAAATTGTTCTACAAAATATTAAAAAAAAAATTAATCTATACATACATACACATAAGCACATTAATGTTTATTAATGCATATAGAATACACTTATATTATTATGCAATATACATATTGGAGTCAAAATTTGAATAGTATAAATTAAATTACAAATTAAAATTGACTATTATATATTTTTTTTTTCTGATTAAAGTATAAAAAGATGTGATATATATATACTCATGCTTTGAATTGTATACTTCAAAAAATTTATTAATTTGAAATATTACTTGTGCAATCACATTGTTTATTATCATCAAAGTTTGCTGTCTTTTATCTAAATAAAATTAAATGGAAGAACTGTGGCGTCATCTTATCTGCAAATAGATAATAAAAATATGTATTATCTTTATATCTGCATCTTACAAGTAAATAAAAAAAGTACTACCTTTACTATATTATTTATCTAGAATAATTTTCAGATAATTTTGGTTTAGAATCATAGCACATTAAAATACTTAAAGCAGACAGTAAAACGATAAAAATTTATAAATAAAAATATGAATACATATATTGTTGTATCTTTTTCATAATTTATATTTCTTGTATAACTGTGTTTACATAAGCAGTCTTAAAAATTATTATCTTAACAATTATCTAAATAAATTGCCATATAATTATATCTTTTACCTAGATATACTTAAAACAAAATCATCTTTATCCTATCTAAGATGAATTTACATATTTTTATCTCATCTTATCTAGCTAATTTTAAAATAATCTTATCAGAACACTGAGTATCATTATCAAAATTTTATTACAATATTTCATTGTCATATTTTATGGCCCTATGCGAAGAGAAGATATGAAATTCTTAAGAAAACAGAAGATGGAGAAACCATAACCTTTGTAAAAAAGGCATAAATTCTGTGATACAATTGCGAAATTATTTGTCTCAAATTTTTTTTTTTACGATTATTATTACAATGATAGATCAAATCAAAATTATTTCAATGGTTCAATCGATAATGTAGTGGTATTTAATAATAATATAATGCAATCATGAATAATATCGATAAATATGTAAATAGCCCGCTTCAAAATAAACTTATTCTTATTAATGTATCTGAAACGGCATATAAAAAAATAACTGAGATAAAACATATATTCTATATCGACGAGCTTAAATACATGTTTACACGGTAAGAGGATTATAGTGCTACTATTATCATAATTTAATGTTTTATTTTATTGATTAACTTAATACTTCGATATATATTTTTTAGGGGAATTGATCCGCAAATCAATCAAAAGATATTGCAATATAGAAATGTCTCACTATGTGAAGCTATCCTCGATAAGAAATGAATTGGACGATTTTGGAAGAAACATGTACTTTCGTGGCAAAATATATTCAAGTTCGAAAAGATTTATGTTACACGAATGTAAGTGCATTATTGGATACAATCGCACAAGAGATACGAAATTTTATTAGAGAGAAGCATTCCAACCATTCGATATTCTTTACGTCTAAAGAATCTTTTTCCTATTGGGAAACCAACAATATCAGAGATAATCATTGGGACGAAACAGAAAGTACGCAGATTATGGATAGACTCCAGGAATATATATTTGGCACCTTGAACTTTTGACCATGTTGCTACTCACGTAGTCTAGATATCAAACGTTTGTGTATAGTTTATGTAAGTTATTATAGAAAACAATATCTATATAATTTTGGGCCATATATGTATATGTTATATGTTGTTCTCAATATTCTCTCGCTTTGATTAATTTATTCTGTATTATATCTGATGCAGGTTTTACAAAGTAAATATGGTCACAAGATCATTGT